TCATCTTTTAAGCTGTACTTCCTGTGACATTCTACCAAATAATACCAATAACACTAGATTAATCCTTTCAACCTCGATGTAAAGTGTAAATTCTCCTTACTGTTGTAAGAGATTTCTTTGAAAGTCAGTTCTGAGAATTGAATTGACAATTGTCCATGTTCTCCTCGCCCGTGTACCTTGTAATATATTAATATTTTAAGCCGAACTAAACTATGATCAAAACAACTTGTTACCTCCAAAACAGAAGCTCGAATGATCCTCGCTTGAAGAGCTGGAGAGTTATCGTTAGCATCTATCACGTGAATCGTGACGTTACTAAAGGCTTTGCGTGGAGGCTGTCCCATATCAGAAGCTGATATGTTGAGTGTATGCTGAACTGCAGACTCGTAATCAAGTGGTTTCACCAAAGATAACGCTCCGGTTTGGTTATTCAAAGCAAAGATTCCTGATAAAGAACACAAATAAACAGACACTAAAAACGCCATGTATTTCTCCAATAGATATTGGTAAGAAGGGAAGAGCGTTACATTATTTATTCTGCAGTTATATGGAGGCAATACTAAATGACAAGAAAGCTGTGGCAACGCTCGAGTTGCGTCCTTGCGTCTAAAACTGATGCATCATGCATTTGACAGCAAAATGTATGCAGTAAGACCTACGATAATTAAGCAGTTAATTGGAAAGATGATTTTAAAATATTGCTCCGCGTAAAGTGGCTTCCTGACCAAAGCGCACTTTACAGCAGCAACAGCTTTTTTTTTTCAATTCCTTCTTACTTTTTTTGGTGCAATGTCTTTCGGCCGTGTAGGGGCAACCTAATCATAAGTGGTTGGTATGTCCAATGGTCGATATGTCTACAAACACACACACACACACAGACAAGGATGCACAGAAAAAAACAATTTTTAGTTAAAGCAGTTTGAGAACTGCAAAGTATAACTGGTCAACGCGACTCTCAATAAGTGTATCTATTGATAAGGAATAGGAAAAACAGCTGCTAGTCGCTGTTAAAACAGCCTCTGAAAGTCACACATACCTTGTTCATTGCCTGCTATAATCTCGTACATCACTATACCGTTCTGACCAGCATCTGGGTCACGTGCCGCTACTGTGAAAACAACAGTCGCTGGTGATGTGTCTTCTCCTACACTTACCGACGCCTTGTTCTCGAATTTTGGAGTGTTATCGTTAGCGTCCAAAACTTTGATAATTATCTGAAGAATTAGAAAAAAGAGAAAAAGGATTCTCATCTTTTTACATTCACATGATACTAAGATGGAAACTTTTCTTACATTCCGCATAAATATACGCTCCAACAACAAAAGCAACATCCAATTTTTGCCATCAAAAGCACACGGCAATATCATGTCCAGAAATGCACGAAATTGACAGATTTGAGGAAATTTCGTCAAACTGAGTGAATGTTCATGGATTTGACGATTTTGCCGAATTTTAGTCAAATTTGTCAAAGCCAAATCAGCTTGGCGTATTTGACGGTTTTGACGATTTTGTCACTTGGCTGTGGCCAGGAGTCCGTTTCTCGAAAGCCCCGGAAACTTTTCGGGCCCTAAAAGCCATTTTTAGTTAATCAGCATTTAAAGACATAGAGGTGTAGACGCCTGAAACTTATTGTACGAAGGGAACTCTGTTCGTAGTAAGAATACGTGGAAAAAACAGCTCTGTAGTCATAAGGTTTGAGATTTTGCTACGGCTTTTCGGGTGCGAAAACTTTTCGGGACCTTCGAGAAACGGGCTGTGGCCAAAAAGGACTTAAAAAGGCATACCAGGGCAATGATTCGATTCTGTTTTTTTTGTTTGTTTGTTTGTTTTTTAATGTCACGCCAAGCTAGCAGACGGTAAAAAAAAGTCCCTCACCATTGCAAATCCTTTGTTTTTTCCATTGCTCAGTAACTCTATAACCAAAGTATACTGATACTGTTCTTCTCTGTCCAAAGCTTGAGGGCCGACTTTGAGCTCTTTTGACGTTCCATTGATGAAAAACTTGTCATCCTCACCGCCTTGATGAATTTGGAATACAGGGTTTGATACATTAAAATATTGTTCCAGAGGCTACAAATAAAAAACACAAACAAAGATGTTAAAGACATTTTACTTTACACGCGAAGCTGGTTTTTAATTCTTGAATAAAAGAGGAACTGACGTACCTTTAAGTCAAACACTGTTGTGTTAGCTTCGTTTTCCAGCACCACAGTCTCAAATGTTCGATTTGGCATTGCACCCACATTTATCATGACCAAAGCAAATGCAACAGGATGATTGGCTGATTTTGCCTGAGAGAAGAAATCAAATTACAACTTTAATTAAGAGGTAAGCACTCTGAGACTTATTCATTTCTTTAGAGACGTTTATACAAAACGGAATTTATTTGTCGGTAATGATTGTTCGTGCCAAACATGCATGTCTTTCTATGGTTTATTCCTGCACGAAATGGAGAACCCATGATGCACTTTTCTAAAAGAGGGATCTATACTTGTCTCATTCCAACAAAACCAACTTTAAGCTATTTTCTTGACTAAGAATGGTAAGAAACGCAAGCACTCCATGCGTTCTGTCGCGATAGCTGATTCATCATATTGCTTGGACTACTTACCGTTACTATGATGGGATAGGAGTCTCGAGTAAGATTACTGTTTACTGTAATTGAGCCTGTTATGTTGTTGATCGTGAATAACTTGTCAGGATCACTCTCTGCAATATAACAAAGCAAACGCTGGTCTTCAAACATTCTGACCTAAAATGCTAGTCTCGCCAGGGGTCCTGTAGTTCTCCCTAGTAGAGGGTCTGGTTTGGGTAATCGGCTGTAATCACAGCTATATATCAGTCAAGTTTCAGCCATTTCCCAGATTTAGAGAGTTTAAGCATGACGTTTACAGCAGACGGCAAACGGCAAAGATTACCTCTGAATTTGTGTTCTTTTCTTCTAATCCTTTACTAAATCACACAAAAATAGAAAAATTGCCCCTACTATTCACCTCAAATACAAATATTTTCACGCTAACTGTATAGACAGCTGAAGACAGACGGCAAAAATTTCATTTTTGCCGTTTGCCATTTGACGTAACGTCATGCTTAATCTCTCTATTAGTAAATTCTTCAAACCTCTGATCTCAGCTGTCATTGGATAACGTTGCTAACACTTAAAACGGTTGACAAATTCTCAGTTAACAGTTACATTCAGCTCCCGTGCTGCTCCCGTGTAGTTCGCGACATGATGGTATCTCCTGCTAGCTTGGGATGTGAAAATCTGACATATGAGGACATTTTAAGCTCGGTAATGAAATGTGAAGGTGAATTAATCAACATGACACGAGCGTGGGACAAAGAAAAATTCTGAGTCCCCGACAGGAATCAAACCCATGACCTCCCGAACACCGGGCGGGCGCTCTATCCACTGAGCTACGAGAACTCGTGGAGAGTAAGGTCATTTAGCTGAGTTCATATATGACAGGTGTCCTGCATACTGCTAGGATCAACGCTATCGAATTCATCGTGAGTAGTGATCAGTTAATAAAGATGGTGAATTTTAAGCTCGGTAATGAAATGTCAAGGTGAATCAATCAACGTGACGCGAGCGTCATGGGAGGTCATGGGTTCGATTCCTGTCGGGGACTCAGAATTTTTTTTTGTCCCACGCTCGTGTCATGTTGATTAATTTACGTTCACATATGGAGGGCAGGTTTTAAGATGAATCCCTCTCCTTCCTCGCTATACTCATGTTACGCGGAGGTGTTTGTTTTTCTACGATATTGAATTTCCTGAGCTGCTAGTCCAGGATTCCTTTCTCCTCATGCAGAATGCCAGTCAAAATACAGACCAATAAACACAAATTTCCCTTTTTGCCATGGTGACGCTTACTAATTATGAGTGCATTTCGTAAACAAGAGGAAAAGTCATGTGATATAGTTGTGCATTATGATGTTGTCTACCGATTCAAGCGTTCTGGTTAGTTATTATTATTATTATTATTATTATTATTGTTATTATTATCATCATCGTCATCATCATCATTTTTATTATTATTATTATTGTTAATATTATTATTATTATTATTATTATTATTACTATTACTATTACTACTGAGTCACAGGATCACCAACCTGGATATATTGCATAGGAGACTGGAGCCTTCACCGAGTCTTGGTCTTCAGCGAGCACTTTAACGATTTCATGGCCCTTAGTTGTCAGAAGAAAAAAGGCGTTTCACAAAAACGAAATTATCATGAGAGTACCTGCATATCTAGAAAATACCAAGCGTTATCTGGGATTGCGGCTAACAAGGGGAAACTTTTCCTCATATTTGTTACGTCGAGTGCCCGGGCAAGAATAAAGATATCGTGGCACAACAATGAAGTTATTTAATGTCTGTGTGAAAGACATGATCAGTACAGAGTTGGTTCTTGTGATATGTGTGAGTTGACAAAACCAAAAAGAAATTTAGGTTTTAGAATAACTAGACACTCTCCTTCCTTTTTTGGAATAACAGGTTACTCCGGTCCTGTTTGTTTTGAGTTCTTTTTACGCCATCTCCAGAAATAAAGCACGTGGGTGAGACAGAATTGTATTCGAGTACAAACCTATGTAGCTCATCAAGTCTTACAGTTGTGTTTAGTTAAATGATTTAAGTAAACAGCAATCCTTCTTACTTGTGGCGTATCGACTTCAATCAACGCTTCATATAAATACTGAGAGAACTTTGGTGGAAGATCGTCAGCATCTAACACTCTTATGGTCACCACTGTCCAGTTTTGGTTGCCCGTGGGTGCACCATGTTCATCCTGCAGAAGATTAGGTAAAAGTATCAAGAGAAGAATTTTGTAAGGAATGACAAACCTCAAGATGATGGATGAGGTTAACTTTCCAGTATTCAGTCGTCAAATACAAATCTCTTATTGAATTAGATATTTATGAAAAGCACGGCACAACTTAAAAGAAGTCCGAACTGTGCTTAAGAATGCGAGTACGTCATTTTCAAGTCTGTCTGTATTGTAATCCATTGTAAACCAAAATAATTACAGGTATTCATCCTCGCTTCTAAACGGCTTTCTGTTACTCGTCGAATATTGTTTTACAGCGCACGGCTTTTTTATTTATACCTCAGGGGTGAGTGGAAGATAACAGTCAAGCAAAGACAGAAAGCTAGGTTAGACTATGCACCTAACGCAAGATATGTTCTTACCGTTGCCGTTATATTAAGATAATAATACGAACTTGATCCCTCGAAATCAAGTGGCTTTTTCAAAGTTATCTTCCCACTTAGACCAGCAATTTCAAAAACTCCTTCCTGAAAATGAAATAAGTAAATAAACGCATTACCTACTGGTTGCATTCGCTGCCTTGCATAAAGAAACCGATATTTTAACGGTAGTCCACGATGGCATCCTCTCTTAATTCTTGTGTATTTCTTTAGCAGGTGGTATAGTTACTTTACCAACAGTAAAGAAGTTTGTAAACGGTTAACCTTGGAATCTTACAAGTCTGATTAAAATTTAATTGCCTTTATGTTAATCTTCGGCGACTATCCGTCGGATGAAACCGTTTCAACGATGAAAGGAGATGATAGGCAGTTACAAAAAGAACGCTGTATTCAAAGGTGAGTTGAGCAACTGAACCAGTTTTCCTGTCCCCGTTAGTTTCACACTGAATGCAGTGGGATTAATTCCAAAAAGAATGAACTTGAAAGTATGAAGAGGGTGCTTTAGTAGTAAAATTTAGTTTTACTAAGAAACAGCCTATGAAATCGCTGGGAGAAATTGAAGAAATTATATGACATGTCAGAATGCAACGTTAGAGATCATTGGACTAGAATAATTAAATCACGAGATACTGAAACACACAGTGTATTATCTTTCGCCCACTTACTTTGTCTCCTCCTGCGATTTTGAAGTACACTGTATTGTAATGATGATCTGAGCTGTCTTTATCAGAAGCTGATACCTGGAACACCACCTCGCCAACTTCTGTGTTCTGATTTTAATAAAAGTTAAAACACAAATGTAAAACAATAGTGGTGGCATGCAAGCCTGTCGTGCTAGTCTTGGGTAATACCTGCTGTGAGCAGTCTGTGAAGTGTGTCACGATTATAAGCTCTCTTGCTCGTATTGCCTGATAATCATTTACCAGCTCAATATAGAGTAGTGAAGTCCGTGAACAGAAACTCAGGTCCTATTTATATGGTCTCGGTTACCCGACACAACCCTCCCCCGAGGCAACTTTATCGAGCGTTTATATATATGTGAAAACGTAGTCCCTGTAGGTTGATCCCGCATGATTATTCATAACCCTTATTGATACGAATTTCTGCTTCAAATCCTAAACCTAGGCATTGCGTGATACTTGCCACACCGAGAGTTCTCCCGTTAGGCGAGCCAAATTAAGCGTTTATATGAAGAAAAGTTGCCCCGCTTGCCAGGGTTACCCTACCTGCCGAGCCGAGACAACTCACCCACTCGAGTTGTCTCGCCCACGAGACGGTTTCGCGATCCTCGTGTAAACGGTTTGCTGAATTTTGCAAAGAAATAAGCTAAAAGTTACCTTGGGCAGGTTAACTCGGGGGGAGGGTTGTCTCGGGTACCGGAGGCCTCAAAGTGTCGCATTTGAAGATGAACATGTCAGAGGTGCTGGAGGAAGACAATTAGTTCCTGTACTGGTTAGCCAACAGCTCCTAAGTTATTAATTGACTCTGCTGGGATTGCTTTACATTTTTTGGACAACTCAGCAAATGTTTTCACTGACTGAAGTGTTTCCCTAGTTAACACTGTAAGTAATTGAAAGGTTGGTTTTTATTTCGCTTTTACCTCAGAAATGTTGACTTGATATGGCAAGTTTTCAAACTGTGGATAGTTATCATTCAAGTCCAGCACAGTGCAAAAGATAATTTTTGTACCCTGTCGAAGAGAGCAAAGGAGAAATATTTAGAACAGTTGAAGCCTATGATGGCATTTTCTTCAGATGGTGGCATAGTTCTTCTAAATGTGCTCTCGAAACAGCTCAACAAATTGCAGAATTCACTTTACTGTGCAAGGAGAATTCCGGCAACTAATCCGGCATAGTCAACGGAACATGATTTTTAGCCCGTGCTCAGATCCTGAAAACGATGAAATAAATGGCCGGATAAACCAGGAAATGAAACGAGAATGTACGTCCCTTGCCCTAAAAAAGTACATTAAAATTAATTTCAGAAATGCCTCTAACCTTATTAGATTCGTCGCTTTTAGAAGCAACCACGTCAAACCGAATCGACGACGACGTTCCCTGAAAAAATATATATATAATTTAGGGTTTAAACAAGACGAGAAAACACCGTGTTTTAGTCAGTGCTTCTGCGATCAACTAAAGGATCAATTAACTGACCGTGCGCAGATGGACGGAATTTACTCTGAATGCTTGTTTGTTAAAATCACCAACGTTTTGGGTGAACCGAACAAGCCCTGAAACGGTTTTAACAATTTCAACGCTTGTTCGGATTGAAAAGCTCTATGATGATAGTGTTTGATTACCTCTCTGTCCAAAGTTCTTGCAACAGTAATAACACCAGTCGTGCTGTTTATTTCAAACCATCCTTTGTCATTTGTAAGGGAATAAGTGATTTGAGCCCCAGTATTTGTCAAGGCCACAGCTTGCACACTTGCAATGAACGTTCCTGAGGAAGAACGATGTGGAAACTTATCAATCGCAGGCATGATAGCTCTTAATACGCGCTATGAGTTGGGAAAACGGTTGACATGCGATGTTCGGAAGGGTTCAGAGCAATCAGTGGTTCAGTGAACATCAGTTGGGAAATAACAGTGCCTTTTCTCTATATATTTAGATTTCTCTGCCTTAACATAACATATATATATATATATATATATATATATATAGTTAGTTATATATATATCAGTATATAACAATGAAGATGACGACGAAAACGTTGTGTCAATCGTCTGTCATTTAACTATTCAAAGTTTAGAGGCACTCGTTGACAATCATGGCCCTCTAATTTGGATGTGAGTTATTTAACTGACTTTCTTTTAGCGATCCGACAAATTAACAAAACAACGAAAATGGCCACAGTTTGCGGTTGTTAAGTGAGAGATCCATAAAGAGAAAAATCGCCGGTTTGCTGACTTTTTGGTAGAAGCGGTCCTAAAATCACAACTCAGTCGACGAAAGAAGAACACGTTTCCAAGACTCAAGGGCAAATTTTGAAAACGGGTGCCTAAATTTTTCTATTTGTGATCAAAATTTCGCGCTTGTGCTTCCGTAACTCGTGATAGCAACCCTTTGGTAGCTTGCGAGGACTAGAATTAGTAATTTTTAACACTGAATCTTTTAGGTTTCTTCAGTTTGATGTAAATATCATTGTATTTTCGCCATGTTGACGATAGAGACCCTCTGCTCAAGGCTACTGTGCTTTATACCAAAAGTCCTTTTGATGTTTTTTCAGTTTCCTTACCAGGAGGACTAGACTCATTCACTCTTGGCTCCAGCGGTAAATTTGGGCTTGGAAAGTAAACACCTGCCAAAAAAAAAGAACAAATTCTACAGACGCGGCGCACACTCCATAATTAGATATTTAGTTGACTCCCGCTAGCCTTTATATTAAAGGAAATAAAGAAAGATTCAAAATTATCTCGGGAGATAATAGGGAATAATTCGGTATGTGTTTCAATCAGGTTTATTTCAGAGAAACACGAAAACTGGGGCGATACTTTGCTAATATAGAGACAGATCTGAAAGGAATAAAACAAATCAAAAGAAGACAACAGAATTAGAATAGCTATATAGTATGGTGGGTTACTGCAGTACATAGTTGTAAAGAGGTACTTTGTTGTAGAAACAGTTAATTCCAAGACAGTAATTTTGGGGAACTTTGTCTGATTAACTTTTGACTAATGTGGCTCGAATTATGATCGTATTTTACCCCGTACATAATTTAAAAATTAATTAACTAATAATAGTATTAATAGTTCTCTTAGAAACCGAATCACAGTATCCAACCTGAACTGAACTTTATGTAATTTGAACAAATGTAAAAATTATACACTCTCGGCCAGGGTGATCACAGACGGTTTCAGGTAATTTTTGGTCTTACTGTGGCTTGTAGTCTAACACTGTATTTAGAATAACTTGGAGGAAAGAAGAGTGGGTGTAATCATCAACCAATTGACACGTTTTAAAATAACATTACTTGCAGTCAGAACATCCAAGCGACTTGTTAATTTTTTTTTTTTTTTCACATAAACAGATAGTGAACTTTCAAATTAGTTTAACAAAAGTTTCCCCCCTTGTCTTAACACAGAACCGAACTGATCTTTCCAACCAGGTCCTGGTTAACTGATCTACAGGCAAGACTTGAGAAGCTACAGCCAGGATAAATTTTAAATAATAACTGCTGACACTCCGTTCAAGCATTGGACTGTAAAGTTGAATTATTAGCACAAAAATGCATGGTTGTTCTCGAAATCAATCCCTTCAGTCTCCTACGAAACAAAAATCTCAAAATGTTGGAGGACATTGGAAAACTATACACTTTTTCCATCCACCACCGACCACTCCGTGAAAATATAATATGTAAGTGGAAAATATGAACTTACAAGGAAATACTGGAATTTTCTAACCCGCAGGAAGTCAATTACCTCGAGGGATGCAAATAATAAAACAAAACATGTCGAAGTGAAGGCTAAAAGACAATTTAAGGATTAAGATCTCGTAATTCAATCAATGAACAGAATACAATGTCAATTAAAGCCTGTGAAGGCACTACCAAAGTTTGGCATATCTGATGTCTTCTGCAGTGGTTTATGTTTGATGATCTTTCTGAAGTGTATACAAACTATATAAACGTAACATATGCTGATTAATTACCGCAATCCATAGAAGGGATATAGCATATAGAGCAGTCGCGGTTTGTACTGTTACGAGATAACATCAGTAAGAGTACAATCCATAAAGGTAACTTTGGCTCAATGTTTTTGTGTTCTCTACTCGGAATGCAAAGAAAGGAATTCGCGATACGCACTTACTCAGTGTTGTATTCAGTACTTGGAGACCAGAGCACATACATGGGCACACATACCCAGAATACATAAGGAATTTATTTGATTTACTTAACTTACCTTCGATCACGCCAGGCTTGAAAGCCGCCAATAAAAACATTAACTGAATTAGCATGGCTTGTGGAGTTTAGTTTGGTAGAGTTCAATCGTGCTTCCTTGGATCGTCGCCGGTAAAAGTTCAATCGTCTTCCTGAGCCGCTGCGAGAAACGTGTGCATGTACGAAGCCAGATTTTACATGACCTCTATTGCTTCGAAGAACGCTAACAATGCAGACTACAGCTTCGTCTCAGAACGGGTCTGTTGTCTTAATCAACACGCGATCGCCTCGATTCCATCATCCCAAGCATTCATGTATCGCTAACAAGCAGTGAAATTTATTCGATTTTAATTTCAATTTTTGTTTTCCCACACCAAAAAGATTATGCAAATCTTGGCAGTTCTGCATGAGCGAGAGCTTGATTACATTGCATTTGCATAAAATGTAGCATCAATAGATCTCTAGGGTAACCTGATCATGAGTGGGTGGATCTGGGATTTCATTGGCTCGTTTAGAGCCACTGATGTGACCTGTGTTCATTAGGTCAGATGTGAACCTCGTCCAAAGCAAGTTTCTTTTCGAGAATATTAACGGAAATATAATTTCTTTGTCCTTAATTGTTTTCTCATTTCTCTTATTTCATTACTTTCACTTCTTTGAGTAACCGAGTCATGCATTGGAAATGAGTTTTGATGCAATTAGAGGGTCGGCGTTCAGAGCTTCTTCAGAAAGAGGTTTTCACGCGATCGTGCAATCAGTCTTACCTTATTTTGTCGGTCACTTATGGAAAGAGATCTTCACAACCCTAGGCCAGGCTGTGTCAGGAGTAGGTATCTAAATCTAGTAGACAAGCACTTGTCCTCTTCAACTGGAGTGAATTTAATCATCGATTATTCAAGATTGGTTATACAACAGACAGCCGCATTTTGTCAGCTGTATAAAATTGCTCAGTGTGTGGACACCAGAGTCTCCGATGACAAATAATAACTAGTTCAATAACTCAGCACCTTTTTAAGTTATTGGTTATAATCTCCAGTGTTTCATGTATGTCTGGCATTCTATTAATGTTTCAGAGAGGAATTATAAGAAATTTTAACTTCTTAATCGAATTAGAGGACAGTGGATTTGTTGGCGAATTTTTAAGAACATTGCTACACAGTTCTTTTTATATTTTCTATAAACAGGTTTCTTCCACCGACACTAATAAAAAGAACCAACCCGTGAGCACCAAAGTTGGCAGAGAAATTGCCTGAAGACGCTGTTTACAAGGCTTGAAAGTTAAACAAAATTAGAAGAACCTAACGGTTTCGACTACTTAAGTCATCTTCACAAATACTTTTCGGTTTCCATTGAGCTAAACATGCACCAACACGTTTAAACAAGACACAATGGTCGGTATTTGCTTTTTGTCTAACCTCTGTCAAGTCAAGCGTAAATGTCGTGGGAAGATGAAGGTTGGGTCGAAATAGAGCCAGCGGTTGTCGTTAGCGCTTTTGCTTTATATAACGTTACATGAAGTATTCTCGCGGTCAAAAACTCAGTAGCCAAAACCGCATGTTGCAATACAATTATTTGTACCGGCCTGCCCAGCAGCAGAGTCCAGATCTAGGGAAGCATCTAAAGACTACAGGATATTAGAATTTTAAAAACGGCTAAAGGAACTGAAATATTGTGCTTGTAAACAAGCCAAAATTCCCTTCAAAAACAGCGAGGCGATAGAAAGATTGAACATGGTGGGCGTTTGCTTAGTTGACAGGGAGCTGATTGTATGACATGATATTGTAAATTTGGCGCCATAGAATATCAAGGTGTGCTTTTTTTTTAAGCCAATCTTTGCTGGTAATGTACAGTGGTTGTGTACATTGCTAAATATAGTTAAGTATCACCAAAACAAGGAAAGTGCAGCAATCAAACATGGCGCATAAGGTACTCAAAAGCGCACGAAAAATTGAAACCCTCTGTCTAATATGATAATATAGTCTTTCTAACAATCTTTGAGTCACTGATAGTGGTCAAACTAACTGTCTTGAGTAATAGCAATCAGCAGCATACAAGCTGAGCTGGTATAAGGAATGTTTTGCCATTTTTCTGGGCACAATTGGTGGGTTAATGCTCACAATCTTACTTATGAAATGCTTTGGAAATAAAAACCGACTTAAATTATCTGTAATCTCAAACTTAACTATCTGATGCTCAAATCATTCAAATTAAATAGGACAGCCTGAGACGCGTGGTGCTGTAATTACTATCGAGACTATGGAGGTAAATCAAAAGCGTTTAATCGAATCAGCGTGATGCGGGAAAACCAAACCATCTCTGACGGGCGGAACATTTTCACTTCATAATCTATTCGCAACCAGTCATACATGATTCTTTCATAGACAATACTTGTCTTTTTATTCCTTATGTGATCGAATAAATGAACTCATCGCCATTGATCCTCTTGCAGAGGTTTTAGCTCATCTGTAAGCATATTGCACCAAAACATCATAAGTTTGCATCACAGTAATGAATACTTGAATTTTCTTTCATGATTTTTTGGCGCAATTGCTTTAATTATAAACACAATTGCGCTCAACATTTCTTTACCTTGTTTTTCAGGAAAATTATTATCAACGTTTTCTATTCCTGCCAAACAGCCAGGCGGCTTTAATACTGTTGTTTATTGTTGATTGCTGCCATGAAATTATGGTTGATGATTGTTGTCATGGAGTTTCATCCCTTTAACGATAAAATACATGCCTTGCGCTATGATATGATATTTTTAGTCTTTTTTGTTAAAGAAAGATGATTCGTACCGCCCATCGAATGGACGGGAAGCAAACCCAAATACAACCAGTCAAAATACAACTCATTTAAGTACACGTTGCAGAACTATATCTGTTTTAGGAAACTTTTCACGCCAACTCTTTGGCCCCGAGCGTCAACGGAACACATTAACGCCAAACCAGTGTTTGATAAGAGATTCATGATTTTGTGAGGACTATCTATAGCAATTTTTATCTGAAAATCCCTGCAGTCTGATTGACCCTTTAGAAAAGTGTTTTCAGGATTGAAATCGAAATGATAATTAGAATTTTAAAAACTGCTAAGTCCTGTATTTCACATTTTTTTTTTCAAACTCGTACCCAATAAGACAATTTAGTGTTTCTTATACATGGCTTAGCCTGGAGTATAAGCTTTTAAAGTAAGATTAATGTGCCTGAAATAATCGTGCTCAATATGGTCAATATTTTTAATAATCCGTCACTTTTCATATATTTAACCGGTCAGGTGCTAAGTGTCTTCCTGTGTACAGAATGCCCATCAAGCTACACAGAGATGAATTAACTTTAAATCCTATCTAAAACGCCCTTTAGCGGTCACTCAAAAGGATTTTTTCTCAACGTGCATCGATAATTAATCTGTGGGATTTTTCACTGATATTATTTTGCTCGTAAAGTGTGTTTTCGAATCCTTAGTAGTATGTTTGTATACCAACCTAAAGTTTGGAACAAATGTAAATTCTGAACAAAAATCTCACCTGCGTGGAAGTCAATTTTCCTATCTTCAAGTCAGACAAAATAAAACAACATTTTGCAAAATCTTTTTCTGAAAACAAAATCCTAAAAACTTTAACTTTTTTTTTATTTCTTGATCCCCAGGATCGAAAATTCGACCTGCTTCTGAAATCTAAAGCTTTAAATTTGTCATGATCAAGTTTTTAATTTAGAATTAGTCTACCATCATATTGTTTTAGGAATAAACAGCATATCACTCATAAAAAAAAGTGTCAACAGTCTGGAAAAAAAGTACATGAACAGGAAACAGAAATCAAGAATTCAACCTGCTTCTGAAATCTTAAGCTTCAAACTTGACATGATCAAGTTTTTAATTTAGAATTAGTCTATCATCATATTGTTTTAAGAATAAACAGCGCATCACTCTTAAAAAAGTGTCAAGAGATGTACAGGCAACAGCACTGAGTGCTTTTCAGAACTGTAAATTTTATTCAAAAGAAAAGCGCATCGAGCGGAAATGTTTTGTTTTAAAGAGCTGACGCTCGTGGGTGTTCATATATTTAGTATTACATGAAATATATGTTGGAATTGAAAACAGCGAAGTAGGCTTATTTCTAGTCGTGAAAATATGCCGGAAAATTTCCACTAATTGTTAACAGTGAAAGAGTCTTTGGAGAAATACGGGGTGTTTACAAATGTCACAATGCAAAACCAGGGAAATTAGTGTTCAACGCTCCAGTTTTAGTCGTGCTAGGTTTTGAACATGAAATGAATGCTTGCCTTAATAAAGTCTGTGGTTTAAATGACAAAGAGTTCGCTCGGTCGACATGGCGGCTGTTGTCATCTTATTTCTTCTCCTTCCTGTTCATTCTCCTTCCTCTTCAGTGTTTTCAGGTTCTTCTCCGTCTTTTCCTTCTATTTCTACCTCTTTTCTACTCTTCAGTTTCAAAATATGTGTTTATTTCTCGAAGAAGCTGAGTGGGCTGTCAAAACTATTTTTCTTTGATCTCAGAATAGTGGTCTAATCAGTCCTTTGTGACTCATTAGCCATCACCTTGCTACACTTTCTCGTGGGCCGCGGTTCCATCATTAATTTTAGCTTGTAGTTTCTCGGCGGAATTCCTTGATGACGACTTCGAACTTTTTTTGGAGCTGGAGCTAGAGCTTCTTCTCCTACTGAGTAAGAAGGAACTTCTTTTTCCGTCTTTGTCGCGCCTGTTGAGTGAAGAAGAGGTTCGTCGAAATGTGTTCAAGCTAAGTCCTTCCGTGGTATCCGCACAGCAACCGTCGGTGTCACATCGCAGAAGTTGCACGAAGTCACGGCGAAAGTCTGAGTTCACTACAGAGTAGATTATTGGATTAGCAGAAGCGTTTGTTACCAGTAAAAGAACAAAGATACGAGCAGCGATTGCAACGTGTTTGGAACCGGTAATGTGGACAAAAAGAGACATGATGGTGGTCAAATGCGAGGGCGCCATGCAGACAGCAAACACAATAACAACTGGTGCAAGAAGTCTCAAGGCTCGGCGATTTTGTACAATCCTGGAAACAGACTCCTTTCGAGCAGTTTGTTCTCTGAAGCTCGAGCGCCGGTAGCTGTCGTGTCTGCGAATGCTGTCCTTCAGCTTCGTTCTGATGCGAATGTATGTTACCGCGATAATACTCAAAGGAATGATGTAAAAAGCCAAGACAATCGTAGTATGGTACATCTGGCTGGACAACGGGTTAGGCCACAGTGGTTCGCAGATCACTATCCCGATTTTTGGTATGGGTAGCAACTTCATGACGAAAAACAATGGCATTACCACAATAATGAAGGATAGAAGCCAGATGAGGAACAGGACGCGTTTGACTGTTTGTTTGTTCATTTGCGGCTTCATGCAATGCACCAGCATTCTGTAGCGGTGAAGTGCAATGGCTGTGATGCAGCCGATTCCTACCCCGTAAAAGATTAAAGTGAAAGGGAAGACAGTTTCGCAAACGAACTCACCAAACGGCCACGAGATAGAGAATTCTTTGCTGATATGAATCGGATAGTTAATGAGTAACACTCCCAAATCGGCGATGGCGAGATTGAGAATTAAACGATTGCCGACTATCTTCAAGTTTCTTTTTTTCGATGTAACAACACACACGAGAACATTTCCGACAGTTCCTATAAGGGAAACAATTATTTGCAGCACAAGTATGATGATTCTTGCTGTATCATATTGCCGCGGTAAGTGTGTAATTCGCGAAGAGTTTGTGGAGTTTCCAAGAATCGGCGTTGCTGAACTTGTGCCGTTTAACAGCATAGCAACGCTCGATTTGCACTTCTCTTGCCAGAGCTTCAATGCAGGTCCGGATATTTATGTTTCAACTAACGCAGTTTTGTTTGCGTCCTTTTTGTCTGAGCTTATATAGCCATCACATCATGGCTTGTTCATGGCCTGGTGCTCCTTATCCTCGTCTCTTTTACTGAACTTTGTTAATAGCTGTCACATAGAGAAATTGCCTCCGCTTAGACGTTCTATAAGATACGAAGAATTAGGGTGTTGAAAATTCAGGAAATATCATTTACCTTTACCACGTTTGTTTCCTGTTATGTTTAAGTCTTTCCCATAATCAAAAGAAACACTGAAGCTTCCCATTACATTGGAGCTTCAATCAAAGACCTACTCAAAAAGAGAAATCGTGCGACTGAAGAAAGACAAAGCTGTATTCAAAAGATTCCTGTTGCCCCTAGCTGTTTTATTTCCCACTCTATTGGTCGGAAAACAAAAACTTTAGAAATGCGTTTGTCAAATAACTCCAATTTTAGGCGCCTAAATGACTGAGGCAGGTGGATCAGATCAGAATATTCTTAGATTAATGGCTGGTGAAATGCACCGACACAGCACGCACAAATACAACGCTTTATGTTCCTAAAAATTTCTTGATTAATTTTTTACCCAACGTCTTTAGAGCCGTTCACAAAGACAAATTTTGCATTTTTATAGGTTTACGTTTGAAATTTGTTTGAAAAATCCAGCATCTTTCCAATGCTAAACAACAATGCAAAATGCATTAGATATATTTTTAGCTCTCCATTTGCCTTGTTGATTATGTTATATCATTCGAGCCTGAAGAAATTCTCACAAGGTATTTTCATATGAAAAACACAAAAAAACAAACCTTAAATTTAACCGAAGTCGGAGGTAATTAAGGTAACATGTCAAGAAAATGTTTTGAATCTTTTCACCGTCATACCCTCTTTCTCGTCATCTTAAGTTGAAATTTTAACCTTATCGAGTTTCCCCTCAGACTTTTCTCGATTATCCATGCAAAAAAATAAATAAAATACAAATTGAAAGGCGTTTATTGCTAGTAACTGAGTGTTTTGAATTCAATGCAAACAAATGTCATGAAGTGCATTTCACGATCCAGTGTTAATTAATCAAAATTGTTAAATCGTTCCTTCAAAGTTTCCCTGATTTGTTTTTTGCTGCTTTTTGTTTTTGCTTGTTTTTATTTTTCCAACTAGTTCAGCGCACAAAACGTTTTGCATCGTACTTTGGCCAGTCTTGCTGTATACGTCGTGCGTAGCGAAGATAAAGATTCTCAAAACATGTTTGGTTTGGTTTGTTTAATTCTAATATATTCTTGCTGAACGTTGCTTTTGTAGTTGTAGTAATACACTATCACAGCGTACGTCATCGTTATTTGGGAATACGGTTTGAAATTTAACACTTGTAATACACTATATAAAGCAGATTGAGTGACCAATCAGCTATCAGGATTTTGACTGGCTATAACAGCACAGGATTTCTAACCCGTAGAGTTTTAAACTCCTATAACGGTCTTGAAAAAGACGTTCTTGTGTCTTTTTGCGACCTGTTCGTTGTTCTGTTCGACACAAAAAAAAACCTCATTAGTTGCTTGTAACAGTACAGCTTCGATAACAACCTTCGGGAAATCAACTGGCCATGTACCAGTTCATCCGTCAGAGTTATTTTTAACAAGTAATAAACTGCAATTGTTTTTCCTTCAACTGAATCATTTATGTTGCGAAATAGTTTGTTATATGGCCAGAGAGTTAAAATGAAAAATTGGCGACATAAATTAAAACCCCCCCTAAATATAGAAAGCGTAAATTGCCAAACCCTGGCGTGAACTAATGGCTACATGCACCTTTTTTCTTGCCGCTTGTAATGCTACCAATGTCAATTATCACACCTATAAGGTAGTCATTTATATAAAGGTCAAGACATTTTAATTCAAAGGCACTGTCCGACATGTAAACTCCAATAAATATATACATATATGTGGCCTCGGTACTTTTACCTGATTTCAGATAATTCATTACCTATGCATTTGCAGTTCGTTAGAGACAAAAGATAAATATAGAAGAGATTTCCTGAAGATCGTTTGAATTATCCCAATGCTTAACTCTAAAGAGGATCAGATTCCACCGGAGGGCTTCATATAAATATAGATCTTATTATAGGATACTAAAACAGCAATTTTTTCTGAATTTCTTCAACGATGCACGTATTTGTTTTCCTTGTTTTAATTTGTTTCCGGCATATTGTGCAACAATTTCAAATTTAGTTCGCTCTGAATTATATTTAAAACAATTTTGATGATATAAAGATGACTTTTGCGAGGGTGGACATTTTAAGTCTTGACAAACCCCGAGGAAGCACACATGAAAAACATGTATAATATGTTATCTTGAAAGTACAATATTTCATCACATGACTTTCTTCTGTAAGAAATTAAATGAATCACTTAAATAACGCTATTCCTAAAGTTCAGTTGATACAATCAGTGTTTGGGAAGGAACGGTTCTTGTTTGTTGTCTTTATAGAAGAAATACTGGCAGTTAATTGGGGTAAAGGTGAACTCACTCAAGTTTGAGGTTAATTAATTCTAAAGAGAGGGGGAGGGGTTAGCTTACACAAGAAGGGCGCTGTTGGGTATTTTGCCGTAGGCTTTATTTCGGTCACTGCGTTCGATTTTATTTTTATTTCCCATTAGAGACAGTCTTTCTATCCATGAAATGCCTAAATGTTTTAATTCTAGCTGTGAAACTGGATTTTTTGAGCGTTCTAAAGTAGGTAACTGTTTGACCTACGAATCAGTTTTGAATTGTTTAAAAATAAATTTGGAACTACAATTTAAAAACGCTTTAAACCAAAGAATAATTTAGAATAACAGTATAAAAAGTTGCTACTTGTTTCCGTTTAAACAGTTGCTAGTTGTGAGCTACTTGCTCATAAATCCCTTTATGATCGTACGTATCTTAGTTGAGTACCAGAAATATTGTGACACCCGGGTTCCATTCGCTCAAAAGCACGTGGAATAAATAAGCGGATGGCCTGGAGAACTGAATTGTGGCATTTTCAGTGGGAGGTATCTAACTAGAGCTTAAGAGGCGTTTTGGCAGCCCACTTAAATGATTGAGTTTGCTTCAATTCTGTCGTACGAATGCAAGTCGATTCAGTCTACCTCCTTTATCTCGATCCACACCCATGCCGTTCTTACGTTGAATGCCCTGAGTTGTGTCTCCTGTGTAGGCTGTCGAGGGCCAACGTCCACTTTACCTGCCTTCTTGCAACAACTCCGGCAATTGTTTGTCATTTTTGCTGACGATCAATATAATCCCAGACATAAGCCTTAGTATCATAATTTCCTTGCCGCAATTTTTTGTTATTACAGGATTAAGAGACGGTGGGAATTGCATTCCACTGGTGTTTACTGTCAAAATGCGGGAGCTCGATTCAGACTTAAATAGTCAAGAGAATTGTTTATCAAGGCTGTGTAAAATTTTAATGTGCTTGTGAATTAGCGATGTAAGAATAGTCTTCAGTCTATAGTAAACTTGCAAGAGTTTGAGGAGCCTAGCTCACTGAGTTGATTACAAAGGCTTCGGGAAGACAATTTACCTTTTTGTGCGGTTTTAAGCTTCAAGCTTTTTTTTTAAGCTTCAAGTTTTGAATGCTGCCAATAGTTGTGGAATGGAGCAGTTCACCTCAGTTCTGACGAAGTCTTTCCCGAAAGTCTTGTTGCTGGCATTTGGTAAACAGAACAATTTGTTCTTTGTCCAGCACTAGGACAAGTTTCTCTGTTCACCAGAAACTGACTGGTCTCAACCACCCGTAATTTTTGTTCTTTCCTCTCCGGCTCTACTCGACGCACTCAGATCAGTCACTTTTCATAAGTGTTCAAAAGTACAAAATTAACTCTAAAGTACTCAGTTGGAGTGTTACAAATGAAAACAACTCAAGTAGTTCCTTCTAAGCGTTAACCCTAGAAAGCAAATCAAATGGGTACCACACAAGATAAAGAAAAATTCTTTGATCCACGATCTCTGGAATTGCTCACCGACTGAGCTCCGAGAAGGCAGCAGGTGGGAATTGGGTGGGAATTCTACCTTGCCACGAATTTACCCGCATTATCGACTATTGACACTATTGGAGTCGAATACTGTTCAAAGGGACTCTCTCAGAAATTTCATAAACTACAGAATCGGCGTGTGCTGCGTGAATCTTAACCTTCTCAAGTTATGAGTATCCCTCGTCAACTTTTTCGCGCTCTAAGTTGGAGACGTTTGTTCAGGAGATCCAGATAGATCAAGGATTGGAATGGATTCTTGATCTCAGATCACACAGATACCTTACACCCCAGTTGAGGAAATGAAAAACACGAATTTGGACTATTTGGGATGTCCACCCAGACACGCTGATCACGCCGCGTTTTTGAAATTAGTTGCCGGTAGTTGATAATATATTGCAAATATTCATTGCCTCCAGTATACCCTGGCGTTCCGCTGGAGCTAACAATTAAGAAGCTTAGACGACGATTTCCGAGAGGATACCCGGCTTACTTCTCAAAGTCGACTGTAAAAAAACGCAAAACTTCACACTGAAGCTACCATGGCTGTTATAATCAATTATTTGCGGAGAAAATAGGACTTCGGAAACTTGCCGCTCTTATAGCCTTCTCACAGACACCACACTGTCAAGCAAATAAACTTTTTTAAAATCCTTTCTGAAAGAAGCCAACGGAAATCCGGATTTAGATTTGATCTGCTGAATCCACTAAGGACTGCAGATTCCTCTGATTCATGATCCGTGCAGTTTTACCTTTTGGAACGGAAACCCTAAAGCCGTTTCTGGAGTCTAGATACTCCCAGAAAAAAAAAGCACCCTTATTATTAACAGGCAACTAGTATTACAAAAGCAATCATGGTTTTCGACGCTATTAGCAACCAGACTTAGGATAATTTCAGTTCTTGGTGAGGTAAGTCTTTCAATCATAAAACTGCCGAACGAAAGCTATCTACGCAAGAACGTGCACTTATCATTGTCAACGAAGTTTTAGCTCTTGCGGGGTTGTGTTAAGAAAAAGCTTACCTGCATGATGACATAGAAGAAACTGACTGGTTGACTGACTGGTTGACTGACTGACTGGCTGACTGACTGGCTTACTGGCTGGCTGACTGACTGACTGACTGACTGACTGGTAGCACTAAGACTAGCACGTAGGCACCAGCACTTGACTAGCCAGTGTGACTATGTAAAGGACCTCACTATGTCGTCGGTTTCCATAGCAACCGTCCAAGCACCGATCCCTCAGTCGGGTCCCCGCCTTCGCTTCAGGGCACACTCCACTACTGCCTTGTCCCTTTGCACTGCAGCCACACCCCACCTCTGTTCGTTGCGTAGCGGAACCGGGACACCAATACTCAAACAGATTATCGACAAGTGTCACCACTGGTTCACAGCCGACAGACTGGATTCAGAGATTGTACCGCAAGGTCCTAATACCAACCAGAAGCTAAGTTATGGACGGTTACCGTTTGCACGGAATCATGATTTCGGTAAAAAACATTAACAACTGCATAGGTTTAGCCATCAAGATAAGAGAATAAAAGTAGCTTGTACAATTTGATTATTTTCCAGGTTGATAAAACAAAAAGAACCCTGCTGACCTGTCGACCAAACTTATACTAAAGTACCAAAGTGGAGCTCGGTACTATAGTGATGTAAACAGATGGCAAACTGTCTTTCGGGTCTTACTGTAGAAGTTGATAATGGTTTTAGTGCCGGATAGATTGAGTCGAGTCCCGAAATCAGTGATTCCAAAGTGTTAATTTTCGTTATCAACAACGACTACCGCGAAATCACGGTTTCTTTTCGTTTGCTTTGGTCAGCTATTTAATCTCCTTGTTCTCTCTTTCAACTTTTCAGTGGGCTAGAAGAAAGCTAAGCTAGCGCTATTTTGGCTTTGCTGACGCGATGATCAGTTTACTGTCACCATGGATGTCACTTTGAACGTAAATGAAAACTTTACCAGTAATAAAGCGCCAAAATACTCTGACCAAAAATCCTACTGATACAAACTGGCCAACACCTACGGGGGTGAGAAAGACTCCTGCTGGGCCTTGAACGGTCAGAGTAATTACAGTGGGCGCCTACCCAAGATGAGAGGAGAGCGCGAGAGAGACTGATTTATATTAACTTCCCGCCATTTTGGCCACGGAATGTGGCTGTACACCATTGCAATATCTAGTTTGGAGACAGTTAGTATTATGCATGCTGCTTTTTAACTTTACTTGAAACCTATAGAAGAATAGAGACAACTTGATTTTTGTGGAAATGCGTTGTTTTTCAAGCCTGAGCTAGTGTTATCCTAATGATGTACCTTTTCCAAGCAGTATTGTTTATTTTTTTCTGTTGGAAGTTGTTTGATACCAGCAGTCACTTACAACAAGCCTGAACAAAAACGATACTACTTGAAATGAGCCGAGACTGAACGTCTTTTGTTTGTTATGAACGACCAGGCGAGAGGTGGATATTATAACTTGAAACGGCAAATAAGCCCAAACGCACGACATGGTCTGGTGTTATAGTGTTCTCGTGTGTTCGGGTCATCAAGGGTTAGGCCTATGCTGTCAGTGGACGAGTCAGTTGTCGGTCGATGTTTGTAATATTTTCAGTTAGTATACGAGACAAGTCTGCTACTCTGTAATTTTTTGTCCTTGTCCGTCTCCATCGATGCCGGTAATCATGTGGCAAGATGTCAATTTCAAAGCTGACCTCAGTGAAAGATACCGTTGATTTCAAACGATTTTGGCAAACAATTTGATGATAGTTGTGGTCAAGCTTCCATTCTTTAGGTCGAAGTAAATCTTACTGCTGCCAGTGTAATGGAAAATGACAACGCTAGTGCACGGGCCCAGAGGTATTTAGTCTAATTTAAGAAAAGCACGAGCAGCTGCATGGAGCCAAAGTGCCCTAGCTCTTGCCGTACGTGTTTGAGGCCGGTCAGAAGTGAGTTTGGGCAGCGCCTCGACGTAGCTCCTCCCTGTTTGCCTTAAAAATGAAAGGCTATGGAAGTGATTGAAGTCTCAGGGACAAACCCTGTTTTTCACGTTCCGTTTCGGCAAGTGTCCCGGCGTAATAAATTTTTTATCAACACAAAGCAGTGAACTTATATACAGCCCTTTTGTGGCGTGCCGTAACAATGGAGGCGCTATCCATTTGTCAGGAGAAATGGGCTCTTCATCCCTTTCCTCTCTCAACCCAATTCAGATCCTTCGAGCGCAGAATATAAGATGCAACATGAATACTGTTTTCCTGAAAATAATTTATACATGTATATTGAGTGTGAAAGGAAAAATTCAACGTTTTACGCTGAAAAATAGGAGGTCACTATCAGGTAGCAGAAGGGCACGCAATAATTTTTCGGGGTCTTTTCAGAATACGCTATTGAAGATTATGAAGACTGAAGAATTGTCTGTGTTCGGAAATTACCTTCTCTTCATTTGTTTCACAATTCCGGACGTTGTAAACAAATGCCTGAAGGCGGCCTTGAGGCTATACAACTTTCTCTGAGGTAGACCAACTGATCGGGCACTTTACTTTCAAGTAGTTTGTTGTCTTCCCTGGTGTCAACGGAAATTTGTTGCACGAGCCAAGAGAATTTCACTCACTGTCAGTTTCTCGAGTTTCGCGCGCAAAGCTTTCTTTCTGTACATGTACTGTTCTATTTATAATTAGTCAAAGAACCGAATAATTGTTGCCAAGAGCCTTTTCAATTATTGTTGTTGATCAGTTTGGCCAGTCTTCAATGCCACATGAGTAAATCGAAAAGAACAAGACAGAGAGGGTGTAACACAAGAAATTCGAAGTGCGCATTGAAATCTACAAACAGAATCACTTCGAAAAGGCACAATAAGATCTTCAAACGTTTCCAGCAATCCACTTTTAATTTAATCGATTTGCAAGCCGCGTGGACTCATCAATTCGAGCCTCCAAGTCGTGAAGGAAAACCAGACATTTCACGGTAGAATGTCGTCCCGGCTTGCTGGCTCGCTCGTCATGTTGAACAAAGGAGTCGGGCTCTTTTCTTTCCTCTGATACTAAAAAAAGGACCTCTAAAAGCTGTGAAGTTTGTATACAGCGAAAAGACTGCTTTCTTTTAGCACTGCATTGTAATTCTGTGAGAATTCGCTAATCCGCTCTGTGATTGGTTGCTGTGAAAGGAATGATTAGAGCTTATTGTTCTCAGTATGGCATATTTCCTTCTGTAAGTAAATACATTACTAGCCGTCGCATAGTTGTCAAATTCCAAGTCGATTTCAGGCGTTATGCAAAGGCTTCTGTGACTTAAATATTCTCAGAGTAAGTGGGTCTGCCGCGCTGGACGCTAGATTCCGTAGCGAAACTGTGCAATCAAACAGCTCAAGATCGGTTTTCTATTAAGGTGCAAAGTTTTCACGCACTGGGGGGTTGAATACGTCACTTTAATGTTGTGGCTTGGTTCAATCGAATCGCGAATCGATGGATGTCTGTAGCCGCAGTTGATCAATATGGCGACAGCGTGTGGAAGAAGTTTCTCTCTCCTTTTCTTACTCATGTTTCTTTGCTTTTTGGCGCAAGGTAAGGAGTCTTAAGTGATTAATTTTTGATTTGTGCTTTCATAAAAGGTGTGAATGTTCGAAGCATGAACAAATAGAAACCCGCAAGTTTTTGTGACAGCATGGCATCTGCGACTGCCCTGAAGAAACCTGAATGTAAACGAAACGCGCACATTCTCCCTTTGAAAGAACATGTTCTTAAAAGCTAAGCTGAGCTGTTGTCGTAGAAAGTCACGCGAGACGAGAGTTTTAGCTCAATTTAGAATTTTGGCCGAGCAATAATCACTAAGATGATGCCGACTTAGTTTTTCCCCGTGGAAAGAAATCACTAGCTTCTTATTCTACTTGTTCCTTGGTTTCATGAAAACACCGGCATTTAGAAAACTATCTCGATATAATTGGAAGAATTCGAACACCGTTTTTGTTGGGAATTAAGCGGGAATTAAGCGAAGAAGACATTGCAGTGCACGGAATCGCGCGCCAAGCAACTTATGATCTGCGACATGCATATATGCTGTAACGTTTCGTGCTCAGCAGCTACTGCACAGTTTTCACTATGTACATTTCAAGGTTTGCTTTACACAACACGACCTAGATTGTGGCGTAATTACTTCTCGCGGTATACAAAAGTTTTCGTTTTTGTGTGAAGACGATTTTTATGATGAGCGTTCGTATTGTAATAATTGTGTTTGTCCTAAGTATTTATACAACTGGGAACATCGATTTGCAATTTCATTCAAAGCGATGCGCGATGCTCGATTTTTCATCACTCGCTTAATTGCTAGATTGTGAAATATACTTAGACTTTGTGACTAAAGGAAGAGGGCATTGCAAGGACTTGGTACGAAACACTGATCTCTATCACGACTTCAGTTGACGCCACTCGACATTACGAACGTGTTTATGCCTTTGCATTGTTGTCAATACATTCTCTATTCAGCCCAGCAAATTCTTCTCTTTAGAGCCACTACAATGGAACTTTTTTGTATCATTTATTGCTTTCTATAGTTGTGTCGTTTCTTTCAAAGATAAAACTTTTAGTTGAAATTATCGATTCTTTGTTGACTGTTGGTTGTGGAGGAAGTTTGCAAATTGAACGGCCGTGTATGTGTGCGAAGTGGTCCTTTTCGAAACAAAAGAATCTTGCTGTTTAGCTAACCTCTCTATGAATACATCTTTTGGCTTTGTAAGCAGTTTGTCTCTTCTTGTTGTGTGATAAAGTAAGAGAGAGTCGCACAAATAACTGTTATTTAGTGTAGAGCTAATTTAAGCTCGCGTTGTAGTTGCAATTGAACTGAGCACATGATATTGGCTTTAGATATCATGCTGCAACTTCTGTTAGAAAATCAGCTTTCCTCCGAAGTTAGACAAAGATATGTGAAAGGTAAAATCTTGCTTAAAAAACTGAAGTTAAATTTAACATTTCGAGTGAGTGCTCGCTCAATTATAACAAGAAGTCATTTATCTTTGCATTTATCTCACTTGTCACCGATCTCCGCGAAAAGAAAACAGTGACATGAATTGTGCATGAAGCGAGAAGCCGTCATGTGGAAAGTCATTCCTCGCAGTTCATTCCTTTTTGCAGCTATTTGCTTTTGTTCCAATCTAAAGCGCATTACGGATTAATTGCTAGTTTTCAAAGCAAACATAGCCTTATTCAGGGATTTGTATGGTGTCTTTATTTTTTAGAGGTGTTGGGGTTGTTTTTCCTTTTGCTGCTAAACGCGCTTTGTGTCATATTGGGTGAAATTAAAAAAGAGATCAGATTCTTGTGCTAACAAGCCTAATTATTCTCTGTTAGATTCAAGTGACGCTTTGAATTATGTAAATAAATTGTGTTCATTGTACTTGTGCTTAAAGCGCACATGTTTTCTGTATGTTACATTTAATTCAGGTGATCCTGGTGTTAGACTTCATGTTGATTCTAATTTGTAGACGTAGCTTTATAGTTTATTTTACTGTTTACATAGCAATGTTTTCACTTTGTACTTTATTAGATTCATTTGTACTTTATTTGACTTGTGTATGGGTTTTGTCAAGTATAATATTCAATAACAAAGCAATGCCCATAAAAGCAATGCCTTCCGAAAGTATTCCAACTTGGTATAATGATGTGGTCTGGCTGACCAGTAAAATACCACTTTTTATGCCCCGGGGTCCAGACTGAATGCCCTGATATGTTGAAAGAAAGCCATCCTCATGTTTGTTAATTGAATTATCTTTTCACACTATAATCCCAGGAAATTACTGTTTTGTCCATACTTTTTCAAGAAAGCAAATTTGTTTTAAGCAATATACTGCTTTCATTCTCTATTATTTTGTAGTACTCCATGTGTCTTTCACACGTTTTTGTTCAGTTATACCATAACATGCTCCTTTCAATTCAGGTAAAGCCAAACTGGGCAGACAACTGACAGATGTTATTGAAATTATGTGGGTTTCCTTACAAAACAGTGAATTAATGCTTCATTCATTCAAATCTTTCTTCCAAGTTAATAATGATGTAAAAATGTGGACATTTATTATTTCCATGTGATCCTTTCTGAATCAACCTAATACTAATATTTAGGAAGAAAGACTGTCTGGTGAGACAAAGCATTGCATTTTATAAAGATTTAATATTAGTCCTTAGCAAAATGGAGATTACATTCCAATTTTCTGCTGTTGATTTCTGAGATGAACCAATAATAAAGGCTGATCTTTAACAGGGTAGACCAAAATGTTGGCTCAACGTTGTAAATGTTTAATAATCAACTTTCAACTGCCATGGTGTATAGCGACAACCATGTTGCTTGCTTTAGTCTGATCTGCACAAGAGACTTCCGTGCTTGGAGATCTTGCTATCAGGTCAAGCTCTAAATATCATATCATTGTCTTCTCAGTGTGGTTTTACTCCATTGACTCTCCCTCAGCGATGACGGGCTTGTTATAGATACTGGTAGTATATTTTATTCAAGCCAGGCGGTACCAATATATACGTCCCCTGCTGAGAACTTATTTTTGAACTTTTCATTTGATGCTAACCTTCATAGCAAGTTAAGTTTGACAATATTGCTTTATAGTTTGATTGTGATGAATATTCAGTAATAAATTAGAAAAAGCCCCCAAGATATTGATGCAAGTGATCAGTATAAGTGAAAATTACTCTTGCTTTTGTAATGAACAATGAAACCAAATCATTGGTCAACATTTCAAATGTTAAATTGACTGAATGGTTGTCATTTGTAAGCCAAAACAAAGCTTTTAGTTTATTATCACAGCTCTTCAAATGGACAAACTATCAGATTATGGAATGCATAGTTTGAATGGTGCAATAAGACTAACTTAAGTGACGACACAGGGCTGCAATATCCTACAAATCAAAATCATACAATGGTAATTCTTTGATATTACTCAAGTGATTTGCGTTGGTAAAATTAAAGTGATGTACTTGTTAAATCAGAGAACATCACTCTTGTTGGCCCTCTTACATCTGCTAGGACACTTCATGTGGAATGTTGTGGTGATACACTGTAAACAATTTCCACTGAGAGGAATAGAAAGAATGTGAGAGTTTGGAAGCAAGCATCAGTTATCATAACATACTTTGAAATATTGAACGTTCCTCAACTCTGATAATGTTCTAAAGAATGTTAATTGCCTTGGGCACAATGTTTCAGAAAACACTCCCTGTTAAATGCACTAAGTGGGTTGTAAAGCATGGCATTGCTGAATTGTTGATCTGAAAAATATTTTCTGAAATTCAAGTCTTATTATTATAGCTGTAATTATTTTTGTCAATAGTAAACAAAATACCTTTAGATAAATCTGGATTAAGTTGTTTTTTCTTTTTTATGTACATGCAATATTCCAGAGTGTTTTGGATTTTTCCTTTCCAACAGATTGTTTAATCAATATTTGTAGCTGAAAGCAGTGCTTACATTTTGGTAATTGCTTTATACTGCTTCTGTTGTTAAGCACTGGTTTACATGTATCTGGGGTTCATACTAATTTGCAAATAATTTCAGCTCTTCAGAGTGCCTCATGCAGAAAAGTTACCCATACAGTGTAAAATATATTTATCTATAGAGCTTTTACGTGGGGCTTTGAATTGTGTTATTAAATGTATTTTGCACATTTTAAATTGAATTTTATCCTACAGTTAGATTGTATATATCAAATGAATATCCTAAAGCAGGGAACGTCCCATATAGGGATAACCTCTGACATTTCCTCATATCGTTTACTACATAATTTTTTTTTTGTATGGTATAGTTTGTAACTGGTTACTGTTAAACCAATTTTGAGTGACTAATAATAAAGTTACTACTACATAAAAGTGATGGGTATTCCTGACAAACTTGTTGTAATGTTGGTAGCAATTCAAACATGTTGGATTCTAAGTATACTAAATAAAAGATTCTATTTGTATGTGATCCATCAACCATTTTCAAACTGGAGACACCATATCTCCAGTGAATACATGCAACACAATGGATGTAATTCAAGGTGCCAAACAATCTCATCTAGGTTAATCTGTTGGCCTGACTAATTGAGATGGATGAAATAAAGTTTGACTAGTGTCCCAAGATAAGAGATAAGTTACCTCTTTAATATGTGAATGCAACCCCTCTGAGACAAGTTGAACATCTTTGAGAATTAACTTACCTACATTTATGGCTCCAGTGTTACAACAAAGTTCTGCGACACTTACACATTGTTATAAATCTTTAAGGTCACTTCAGTTAGATAGTACAAATGCACCTTGGTTAGATCTCTGCATTAGTATGATGCTGATTCACAAAGCAATGTTTTAATTTCAGAAGCTGAGAGCTTAAGATGTAGGTGTAGTACACACAACTGTCCTGGCGACCATCTCAATGAAACTTGCACAACTGAAGGTCACTGCTATAAGAAAGTGGAACCAGGAGTTGATGACAGCTATGAGCTCATCACATATGGCTGCTTACCACCTAAAGAGAAGACTAGAATGCAATGTAACACTCCAGATCACGTTCATAAGAAACAACTTTCCATGGAGTGCTGCAGACATGCTGACATGTGTAACACATTGCTGCAGCCAAGTTTACCAACAACACCCTCTCCTACCACAGGTACAGGGCTTTTGCTATTTTGATTTGAAACTGGGTGGGTGCTGCTTTTGGTTTTAAATGAGTATTTGTTCCTAGTTTACATCCTTATAAAGTATGCGAGGACAAATGTATGGTGTACAGCTGCCAACTGGATGAACTGTTTGGTTTGTCTCATTACTACAGTTCATAGAATTTTGTTTGAAGTAAACAAATGTGGAGGTGTTAGAAGTAGGTTTCCCTGCAGGACTCAAAAATAAAAATATCTTAAGTGACTGGCAAAGGAAAAATAGTAGCCAAATGCAAAAATGTAACTACCAGAAGGTATAATAACAGGAAATAAGAATGTAGGGCATCATTAACATCACTATAGGGCTTCTGGTTGTGGCCTTGGAATAGATCGAATTATTCTCCACTGAAGTGACTCAAAGTAGCAACCAAGTGATCTTCAGATGAAAATTATGCAGCTAAATGCAAGCCTTCTGAAAATAGTCCAGATATGCTATATGTAAAAGTGATATAGTAATAGTAATAGTCATAATTTATTTTATGTCGAAAAAGTGGAAAGTGTTTGCACAATCTTCCCAGCCAGAGGCTCATGATATGTGATGAAACTTACTGTCATTGAGCCACTTTTGCACTAAAACACTTATCCTTCAACCATGCACACTTAATTTAAGGTGACCAAAGATTAAATTTGTCAGGGCAATATTTTAATTATTGATATAGTTGCTTGATTATATCTTTTGCTCTGGTGAGTTTTCTTAGTTTACTCCTGAAATGATCTGAACAAAACTTCCACAATCCTTGATATTCTTGGCCATGATATTATTCTACAGCAAACAATTATTGAGTAACTGTTTTACCCAGGAGTAGAGTTATCATATTATAACAGTATCATTTCTTACCTCCAGGAAAGTAAACTTGAAATCCACTATCCAATACTTAACCATGTGGATATATATTGATCACGGCACTTAAGCCTCAAGAACAGAAACTAAGTCTTGAAATCCACTAACCCTCACTTAACCAAACTGATAATCTGATCAACACTCTGCTACTGGAGTGGAGCAACAGTATCTCTATCAGTAGCTCTACTCTTCTGTTTCATAAACATTCATAGGGAAGAATCCTGTTAGTTAATCCACTAACTACTTCTGGCTTAATTTCCCTCAATGTTCAATATATACTGTTTTGACCCAGGAGTGATCACATGGTCAATTTCTCTCCAGAATTTCCCTCCAACTCAAGCATTTATTCATCATGTATCTTATATTATATGAAACTCATTATCGTCCTCATTGTTGTTGTCACCCTCGTGGTCGTCGTCATCATCATTACCATAGGGAAATTATCTTCTGTTAATGTTCTCCCAAATAGTAACAATAAAGAAATGTATTAAGGTAAGTAAGGAGAATTTGTACTTGCATGCTTTTGCCAAAACGTATACCTATTAATAGTGTTTTTTACCTTGTTTTAGTTGAGACTGTTGCAGAAGAGTCTGAAGATGGTGTCACAGAGCAGTATTCCATTCTCTTTATCAGTGCTGGTGTTTGTGTTGCAGTGTTTATAATCTTCCTTGGGGTTCTTTGTTTCCGGTAAGTACTTACTGTTTGTCAGTCTATTTAATTCTCCTTCACAGATTTCATAAGAAGCCAGGCTTATACAGAGGTCTGACCCCCGTTAAAACTCACACAGCCATCTTCTTTTCACTGGTATAGTTATTATGCAAATGTATGCCTGAGGTTCTCAAAATTAAATGAAAGCTTAGTCCTTTTTTAATCAGCTGATTAGCAGTGCTCATTAAGTGTTACAAACAGCCAGTTAGCCACAGACAGCTTAAAATTCATTTTAGATGGTGCTTTGGAAGGAAAGACAGCCAGTTTATTCAGGAGCACTTTTGCTATTTTAGGCCTCAAATTGTATTTTTAAGAGCTTAGACGTCAAAACTGATGGTTTCTTGAAGAGAACATCTCCAATCTGAATATGCCTGAATGTCTCTCCAACATATATACCGTGTAGAATTGAAAATGTGTAGTGAAATGGTTCACATGATGTTTTGTTTCTAGCTTTAGAGTATCACGCAGCAGAGTTCCTTCACCCCTCGATGTTGAGAAGTATGCACATCCATATGTAACACCAGGAGAAACGCTCAAAGATATGCTTGATCAGAGCTCTGGTAGTGGTTCAGGGTTGCCACTTCTGGTAAGTAAAAACATGCTATTAATGGAACATTAAGTAATCTTAGAGGAAATACTGACTATAATGTTAAAAATCATAATAAAAGTACTGGCCAAAAAACAGCAGATTAAGGTTCTTGTATTTTGTTGTCTATATAATAGGCACAGTGCAATTACTCAGATTCCCCTTCATTCTTGCAAAAAAGTAAAATTGGTTTACCCTGGAATATAGGTTGAACATAATGATGTTGTCTTACGTCCATCACCCTGTGAATTTCTTCACTTGTATGTGGTTGAATTTCTTTTAGGTTCAGAGAACCATTGCCAAACAAGTCACGCTTGTTAGGAGTGTTGGTAAAGGGAGATATGGTGAAGTGTGGCAGGCAAGGTGGCGTGGAGAAGATGTAGCAGTCAAAATATTCCTTTCCCACTGTGAATCCTCTTGGCAAAGGGAAACAGAAATCTACCAAACTGTTTTACTACGTCATGAGAGCATCCTTGGATTCATAGCATCAGACATTATTGGAAGCAATCAGGTTACACAGATGTACCTGATATCAGATTATCACCCTTATGGCTCATTATACGATTTCTTACGGTGCCATTGCCTTAACAAGAAGACCATGATCAAACTGGCGTTGTCTGCTTCTGCAGGACTGACTCATCTTCATACTGAAATCCAAGGAACAAAGGGCAAACCTCCTATTGCACATCGTGATATTAAGAGCAAGAACATCCTAGTAAAAGAAAACCTGACCTGCTGCATTGCAGATTTTGGACTTGCTGTTAAGTACTCATCAGAAACTGAAGAGATTGACATCAAGCCAGACACAAGAGTAGGAACTAGAAGATACATGGCTCCTGAGGTGTTAGACAATGCATTGGACACTAGACACTTTGCCGCATTCAAGATGGCAGACATTTACTCTTTTGGACTGGTCTTGTGGGAGATTGCTAGACGGTGTATTTCTGATGGCAAGTATTCTACATTTTGTCCTGTATCAAAATTGGAATAATTAATAAGGCTGATTCAAGCAACCCATGATAAGTGACCTATTAAATAAGTAACTCCATTCAGCTTCCAGAGAAAGCTACTGACAATGAGTGAAAGTGTCTCTCTCTGTATGGGATCAATTTGTTAGATTGCTCAGCGAGGACTTGAATCAAACAGCCAGAAGCAAATAAACACCAGGTCACCATGCCTTCCACAATTGAAAGAGAATTCATAATGAAATTCTGTGCTCGAGTTAGTCACAGCTGCAGTGTACAAATGTACATTATACATGTGTGAATTTCTAGAACTTTCTAACTTGTTCCTTATTATTTCAGAAACTGGTTTGTGTGAAGAATATCAAGTACCCTATTTTGACATGTTGCCTGGAGATCCCTCATTTGATGAAGTCAAGAAAGTTGTACTTACAGAAAAGAAGCGGCCTTCAGTGCCCAATAGATGGTATCGAGATGAGGTAAGATTTGTAGCTTTGTAGTAATCATAGACCAAAAGCAACAATACCTATTAGTAAGTACTATGAATAAAAGAACATCATATAGAACACTTAGAATTCAAACTGTTAGCCCACGCAAAGGTAAAGTATGTCAGCAATGTTAATAAATGATAAATAAATAATAACAATAGAGAGGAATGACCCTCAATGCTTTCCCTACCAAAATAAAATTATCCATGGGTTATTCTACAGATTTTGTACAGTATAAATAATTAAATTTGATACATTAAGCTTAAATTTAAGTTTTGTGTGCCCTCTCAACTACAATATCTTGAAGTCTAAACTGAGTAAATACTGTCAAGAAGGGATCAAACTTGCTAGTACTATCAAGCCATGCAAAAGACAAGATTAAAGGCTCTTAAAATAATCACCTGTGAATCTCTTTACAGTCTCTTCAAACAGTGGCCAAACTGATGACAGAGTGTTGGGCAAACCATCCTGCTGCTCGGTTAACTGCTTTGAGAGTGCAGAAAACTATGAACAAACTCAAGAAGTCCATGGATTATATAGACCAACCATTCAGTGTTGATGATGACAGCCCTCGCACTAGTGTTACAACAGCATAAAGAGGAAGGCTTGTAGACTCAACACAGGCAGTGTTGATTGCACTGAGGCTTGCCTGTCGATCAAGAGACAGTTAGCAGATCTATGTGCTAATTCTCATGATTCTGCTTTGAAATTATCCAGCCATGAGTAGAACAAGAACAAAGTACCTTACAAACCGACAGGAATGTACTTTGTACATTTTTCACTTTCCATTTACTCAAAAACCATGTAAACTGCCCCCAAGCTGAAGGGCATTTAATGATGAAACAAATGTAATTAATGCCTTTCAGTTTTTACTGTAGATCAAAGTTTGTTTCAGTTTAAAATGGAACATTAGGGTATGAAGGGGGAATTCTAAGGGAATTTAAAACAAAAATGGATTTAACAACATGGGTTTCAATTGCCATGTAATTGGTAAGTTCTGCAACAAGAAATACCCTCCATAAATCAAAATAAGTTCAAAGAAAGTATATTATTGCAATTGCTGGAAAGAACACTAGCTTAGTATGTGTCAGGAAAAGTATATTTTTTTAAGATGCTCCCCTGTTACTTCCCAATTTCAAGAGTTTTATAAACCTGTGAGTCAGCAAGCCATGCGAGCCAAAGGGCGAGCCATGCGAGCCATGCGAGTCATG